CGATTTTGCTTACTATTTCTCCAATTTTGTGGTACTGTATTAACTGTGAATATAGTAAAGAAGAATATCAACAAGAAGCGTTCTGGTGATAGAATTCCCGGTGATGATCGTAAAAGAAAGGATATAACACTTGAAGAGAAGCTCGATTTTATCAACCTCAAAATCACCCTTCTCCCCCATCAAGTAAAGTGTTACATTTACTGTATGATTTCATTATTAGATATGAATGTAACATTTATTTAGACTGTGCTATCCTTTGTGTTAGGCTAACTACTAATTTTTTCGATTTCGAGTAATCTGCACCTAACCCTATTTTCTCCATAAGCCCTATTTATTTCTATTACGCGATTTTCTGCCTTACGATGTTTTACAGAACACAATTATCGCGTTATGGCAGAAATACCACAATATAATAATAAATACTGATATAGTTGAAAGACTCGAGTGTTTATGTAACGATCTACCATAGGATCGGAATATCAAGCCTTTGTACTGTTCTCTCTAATAATATTTGTACTAAATTCACTTTAAAACCAAGAAGGATGGCAGTGTCATACCCTTATACTCTTCCATAAACTACATGTTCCTTCAATGTGTTAAGAGTACTCTCTCTTTTCTCCTTACCCATTCTCTGTTGATTTCTTTTTTTATCATAGTCCTACTATTTAATCTATTCCCTATTGTCCATTGTATATCTGGATCAATCGCAAAGTCAGTTACTGTTAAAATTATTCCTCCTCCAAGTACTGACAACCAATTACCACAGGAGTACTCATGTGTGTCAGTGTTGATGCCGTGGATGCAGAGAGGGTAAACTGTGGCACAGCATAGTACAGGTATATTGAATCTGTTGAGGCAGGAAATGAATTGATAGAAGAGTTTTGAAATTGTGGAACACTTTTCAACACTTTCCAAAAATGATACACAGAAATGGACCTGGGTAATACGTAATAAACTGACCCTAAATCTTAAAAAAAACCCACTACACGATCTTTCACTATAGAAAAAACTTACCTCCAGACTTGAACCCCCTGTACCTTGGTAATATAGTCCTCAAACGCGAACAATATACTAAATTCCTCGGAGTTATTGTTGATGAGAAACTTAACTGGAGAAACCACATACAAGCCATTCACAGTAAAATCAATAAACAGTGCGGTATCATGTATCACACTCGACAGTCACTCTCACAGCAATGAAAGAAATCTATCATGATCTTGTTTACCAACACCTGATACACTGTCACACACTATGGGGGGGGGGGGCCTCTGGCTCTTCAAAAACACAATCTCTGGTTACTGCACCAAAGAAAGTTGTACGGACAATGACCTACTTGAAAAAAATAGATCACACAAACGAAAAATTTGCTATATTGAACTTTTTTAAATTCGAAGATATTAACACTTACTGCTGTGCCCTCTTTGTTTACAAATCTATCAATCACTTGCTTGACAATAATTACTTCCAGTTCCGTAATAATCAGAGATACAACTTAAGGCACCCAGAGCTACTAAGACCACCCCCCATGCACTCCTCTCAGTCCCAGACCTCCATAAAATATCATGGTGTGAAGGCATGGAACAACTTACCCCCACCCATCCGAGCAAAGACTACGTTCCCTTCCTTTAAATCATCTCTAAAAAAATATCTATTGTCGAAGTATTAATATTTCTTGTAACACTTACTATATTTACAGTACCTGCTTTTATTGTACCACCAAATCTGTTTTATCGGAAATTATCATGTAAATAAATAAGTAATTACCATTGCAATACACATAAATGCCAACTAGACATAATCCTGAAAGCTCTGTCCTCTTGTTCAACCTTATTACTGCACAATCCAGGTTGTACTGATCCCCCATTATACTTATGTTTTTAAATTCCACTCTTAATTTATATGTATGTATGTTGTGTATATGTATGTATATGTATATATATATATATATATATATATATATATATATATATATATATATATATATATATATATATATATATATATATATGTATATATGTGTATATATGTATAGGTATGTGTATATGTATGTATAAATAAATAAAAAATAAAATAAAATAAAATAAATAAATAAAAAATAAAAATAATAAATAATAAAATAAATAAATATTGAAGTGATAACCGTGGTAACACTATGAGATGTACTTATTACTACCATGCTATTGTACTATTCCAGATGATACTAAACGTTACATAATACTTCCTTGAGATAAATGTATAATATATATCAGGTGCCTCAAAGAGAGCTCAGGTTCTCAACTGGCTCAGCCATGTTAATATTGTTATTATTATCCACTCTGTATCTGTATTTTTCTGGCTAAATAAACTGTTACAATTAAATTACAAATTATAAAGCTGTTTAGTTCAATAATTATTAAGCTAAGCTGCTTGTGTGAAGTGAGATTAAGCAAGTTAATAACAGTATGAAGAATTCTTTTTACTGTATACTGTATTGTACAATACTTCTGGATATTAAATGTGAATCCCTACCGTATATACTGATATACTGTACAATACTGTCTTAATGATGATGTGTCTGACCAGAATAAACTCGGAAATCATTCATTTGGTCTGGCATCACATTGCATGCACTTTTAAATCATAAACCCCTGCCCTGACAGGGATTATTAGCCAATTATCAAGTTTAGGTAAGAAAACCCATTTCTCTTGTTTCTTTCCACTTACACAACTACATCCCTCCAAGCAAACTCTCAGAAACCATACAAGAGACTACAGTACCTTTAGCCACTTGTGGTCAAGAGCTTCATAAAGACAAAGACAGATACTATACAGTGCTCCTTAATTTCTCCTTTTAGATAACTAGGGCTTGATATCATTGTCATTTTCAACCACTGTTAACTCACTGCTGGGTTTAGCACTCCTCAAAAGGTATTTCCAAGCTTTTTGACCAAGTGCTATATGCATTTAATTCACTTTCAATGTTTTTAATTATTTTTCATATCCATATCATCAACTTTTAAACCATAACTAGGCCTACTCTACCATCCTCTGTACAGCCCAGCCTTCATTTGATAGGTAACTTAAAATCATTACCTAAAAAAAACATAATAGCTACTCTTCCTTATTAGGTTATGATTTCAACAATATGGGTGAAAGTTTTCTTGTGAAGGTTTGATCACATTTCAGTTATAAAATCTTGCTACATAATCTTCATATACCACATATATCTCATAAACCACATACACCCACTCATATTGTTAAAAATGGTGCAAGACAATAAATAAAACATGATAAATTACCAATAACTATGCATATATTTTCCTATGAATGGAGCTCCAAACTCTTGTTTAAATAAAGCAGGTGCTGGACAACAACAGCAAATATTTTTCAGGAAATTTGAGCCATGGTATACTATACTGTACTGCAAAATCCGAGTACAGTACGTATATGTTGCTTGATGCATAATTCTGGCCAAAATCACATTTAGAAAGTGATACTGTTGTTTATTTTCATTAAAAAAAGCACTAAAGCTGTAGAAGCCACGGCCTAACTGACCTTTCCAAAGAAAATAAGAAATATTTTTTCTTTGCTCCTCTTGTGGATTTACATTCTGTGATTTCCCAAAAAACTATTTTATGAAAATCCTTCATTAAGTTTATGGTGTAATGGTAAACATTTAACCGTACAAGCTAAAACTTGTTTTATGTATGGCACACGTTTCTGCAATAAGATATTTTTCAATAATTTAGAAAAAAAGTGAGAAAATATTAAAGCCGTGATAGTAAACATCAAAGTTACACGAGCATTCTCAATGATGTTATGGTCAACATGCTGTGACTCAGATGTCTGTGATCTGTCCATGATGAAATCAGCCAGTCAAAGGTAACCAGTCTCCTGATATGTGGAAATGAACTTTATCAACATGAGAAGTCTCAATTATCTTCAATATTAAGTCAATATACTGTATTGCGTATGTAATTTTAAGTTTCATATAAAATTTGGTACAACACTGTATCAAGTCCAGTCTTCATACACATATATGATTATAAAGTTCACCCACATACGTTCATCAAGACCCCAAGAGTTAAGAAACAGCAAGTAACCCACAGATGCCTTTCACACCTCAAGTAATACTGACATTAAATGCCCCAGTTAATAGTTTATACAGTACACAAGTTTTGCAGTGGTCAGTTGTTGGTCATGTTATTAGACTTAGTTCAATGATGTTTTTTTTTTTTTTTAATTCACTGAACCACCAAAGGGCTGAGGTCACAGCCTTCAAACTATTTATTGTTTGTTTTTCTTTGCTCCAGCGATAGATTTGCATTAAGTGTAAAACAATTGACATAAAACACCCAAAATAAGCAAACTTTTATTACTGTAACAACCTTAAATTACCATACTGCAAAGAGTTTTTATTTGTTAACTGTGATAATTGTGGGAAAAGATATAGAAGTAAAAACTCAGTACAAACATCACACTACACATAAATAATCATACTATATAGAACATTATCCATAAAATATAACTATAGAGGTTAACTAAAGCTTGTACTGTTGGTTTAATGGCCTGGACACTTGACACACCACAATATACCTCACGTGTAGTCACCATCATCACAATCACTCTCAAGTTCTAGTCTCATTACCATAATTTACCATCAATATCACCGGATTATCAAGACGGAACTCGATTACAATTAAATTTTTTCTCACTAATCTCTAGATGATGGTCGACATGATACACACACCCAGGACGGTCAATCACACACCCTATTATAACCTTTAACTCTCATATAACAAACATATTACCAACTAAATTATACGAACTGTTAATAAACCGATTAAAAATAACGATACGATAAATTAAGAGCGAGTAAAAGGGACGATAATCCACCGGGCAGCTGACCCCACAAATACTCCTCTCTCACCTCATCACTCAGGTACAGTATTTCAGAGGTTTATATACATTAAACGGGATTATATCGGTATGTTTAACCAAGAGGTGTCTTTTATACTGACCTGCATAAGGCCTCCTTGCATTTGGAGCGGCATTTCGTGATAAAGTTAGAGCATCAACTCAACAACAACACATCCCGTCATGGAGCCTGACCCTCACTACTGCCCCTCCCTCACCATTATCAGGAATATACTAATGACATAGATAATATTTTGTCAGTTGTATAATACTAGAGTTTAATTACATAATCCAATAACCTATTAATTAATTATTATTCGTTTATAATACTGAAGTAGAATTTAATTACCTTAAGTCTCATTAATAATAGTAAAAATAATAACACCCATGCCTTATAGTTTCTCTCCCCTCTTAAGGAAGTGTGTAATATTTCATGAGCTCATATATAAAAATATAAATTTATAAAATTCAACAATATCATGATGTTCATTTATAAGTTTTAAATATTTTAATTGTGATCGAACTGAGTGGACATAAGTAATGGCATAAACTACTAATATCTGACGGAAGTTGTCATAATCACTTAAAATCATATAATATATTTAATTTTCCCATCTAACTGGTAGGGCGAGTATATATTATATTTATTATTTTGCGTATAATGTAGTTGTCCGGCATGAAAACCGTTGGTAGGGTGACCAGTCAGTCCGAGAACTCTAGTAATGTTCCAATATTATTTCATTCCAACTTAAGAACAATTACTCAATAATAAAAGTTATACAGTCTTTTTCAAGTTATATTTGTTATTATATTGACAATAACGATTACCACACAGAATGATAAAATAAAACTATTTTTAAATTTAAAAGTTCTTGTTTGTTCTAATAGATATCTAGCCTCTCAGCGCGGGCCTTGACAAGTTATTAAATCTTTGGCTAAAACACTGTGAGAGTATTTTACTTCACTATGATTCCTAATAAAGAGTGTAGAATAAGCGTTAGAGTATAGTAAGCTTCTCCAGGAGGGTCACTGATATGTTGTATAATGTTGAAGTTAAAGAAATTCTGGGTTACAAGATAGTAAACAAACGTAATCTCGGTAAACCTAAAAGTTTGACATCTTCTTTACATTGATGGTACGCCCACCCACTTGTATTTAAATATTCGAAACTTAAATAATGTACATATAAAAGATACAGATTGGTTATATGAGTGTTTTGTTTTATTAATTGCAAATTTATACTGAATGAAAGAAAACGATATCTTATGCTAGCCCTGGGAAATGGCTAACTACAGTATTTTTTTTTTATCCTCTTCGCCACTGATCGGCTTGTTAGCCGCTTGGGCGATCGGTCACGTCTCTGTCACGCACTGTTGGCAAATACTGGGCATGCACCGGCTCCTGAATGTCCCTGAACCCGCTCCAGTGTTGGTCAAGTCTTGTCTTGAAAGAGCTCACACTCGGTGCCGTCACAACACTCTCTGGTAGATTGTTCCAAGAGTTTACAACCCTCACTCCAAAAAAGTTTGCCCTCACGGTTTTCTGGACTTGCGGCTTCTTCAATCTTGAGATGTGACCCCTTGTGGGGCGAGCGTCCGCCAGCTCCAAGTAAGGACACTCAACTGAGTAGTGCCCCCTGAGATACTTATACATCTCAACTAGGTCTCCCCTTGCCCGTCTGTAGCGTAAGCTAGGCAAGTTCAGGCGCTCCAATCTCTCAGGGTGTACTGCGCACATCACTGTCATTCCTAAAAACCCCATTTAATTCATATTACGCTTTTTAACATTCAAATCCACCGCGTTTGTAGAACCTCAGAAAACGGGAAACATTGATAAAGGATAACTCACCTACTCAATGTTACTAGACCATGTGTTGTATTGTACCCAGGTACAGTTATATCATATTAATTGTATGTATTCATAGCATTAAGGAGAACTCAGGGTATCCATAAGATGAATGTTAAAGTCCAGTTGAGCCGGACTAGTGTACTGTAGGACTTAGTGTGGATCATGGTTTGAAGGTCATACTATTTACGTCTGTGAACGTGTAGCGAACATAACTTCCACAGATATCATATGAAAATACATGAGAACAATGATCTGGAAAAAGGATAAAGGTATCAGAACTATGTGAAGTGTTGGAAGTGATATAGAAACTATGCTTCAAAAAGAATATCTTGTATACCCACGCCATGAAAATACGACGCTAGGCTTTGTTTGGGTTGGCGCCTAGGCCGCCTCGGGTGTGTCGCGTTGATATTATAACCCAATGAATTTACCCACGAACTAGCAAACCAGACCCTTACCTTAGTGTGTAATTTAGGATTAAAATATGTGTTTATACGGCATGAGTGACAATATACCGAAAAGTGTTCAGGTGAGAACCGTAAGAAATAAAAATTAAAGATTGGAAACTGTAGGCCTACGCGGTGACGAGCGGCAGGGCACTGCCCTCAATACCCTCCGTTCTACCGTCACCTCAGGTCAGTGTTAGGGGGTGTGATAACCGCCCGTCAGGCATTATTTCTGAGTACCCTCCGTTCTACCATCACCTCAGGTTCCATGCGGTCGGAGTGCCTTGCTGCCCGGCAGCCATTATCCCTATGAGCGTCACAACAGGTGGTGACTACTCCCAGCTATGCCAATCCACTGTGCACCTGTGGATTTCCAGCACACCACTCCAAATGAGTAGTAACAAATAAGGAGACCGTAAGAAACTCTGCGGTCGTCACTTGGAGCGACCTATAATTCCAGGCGGAGAAATAGTACTGGTATGTCTCTTGGTGAAGCCCTCGTCTTTACCCACCGAGGGCGGTGTGCGAACGAGGTGCCTGTTGTGTATACCTAAAAGTTACAAGGAGTCCCATACCTGCAGGGGTGGAGTGTAACATGTGTGTTGAGATGATGTTACTATGTATGATAACCGACGGTGCTATATTCCATACAGGTGGAGCAGTCTGATGTGTTAAGGGATAGTATAAGAAGGAATGACCGAGGTAAGGTGGTCACAGATTGTTATGCAATAAGTATGTGGATGACACGCCATTAATGTAAGACGTCTGGTGCCCATCTGGGTAACCAACATTTTCGTTGTTCTTCCGAGGAAGACCAATTCAATTGTATGTTTTTTACCAGTATGCTTTATAAGGAATAAATTAATTAAGACATGTTATGGTTTCACCCTTCTTGCCCCTTATCGATCTGGTCAATGGAAAACCTAACCCAATGCCTAGTCCACTCTGCACGCTACCTAACGAGCTACATGCTGTCCAGAGGGGGTCTGGTGGCAGCGACCCTTAGAAATTAAGATTAGAGTTAAGTATTCCCCCTTAGCATTAGTGACCCCCAGTCTGGCAGTATAAGGGTAGCTGAGGTGCCGAAGTGCAGGCACCAGTCTGGTGGCCCTCCTTTGAACATTTTCAACCAACTGACAGTCCATAGCATATCTCGGGGACCAGATGGGGTGACAGTACTCCAGATGGGGAAGCACTTCACGCCTGAAGATCGTTACGAGGGACGGACCGTCTAGATATCTGAACGACCTTCTTATAAGACTCAATAATTTATTTGCCTGATTTACCTTCTTCTCGCAATGGCCCGAGAACTTCACCTCATTGTCAACATACACACCTAGGTCCTTCACACACGCAGTCTCAGCTAGTGCAGTTTCTTCATCCCGTTGGGACATATGATAAGCCTCCTTACCGTTGGTACGCCCCAGGTGCATCCTCTTACACTTCGTGACATTGAATCTCAGCAGCCATTCCTTCGACCATTCCTGGAGCCCACAGAGGTCCTTTTGCAGTTCTTCACGTCCGCTTGGTTCTTAATTTCCCGAAATAACTTGGCGTCATCGGCAAACATTTGTATGGAGGAGTGTACAACGTCAGGCGCGTCATTTATGAAACAAACAAACAACAGCGGGCCCAATACACTGCCCTGTGGTACCCCACTTGTGACAGGTACAGATGACGATTTCGTGCCATTAATCACCACACACTGCTTGCGGTCATGTAGAAAGTCTTCTATCCACGCTAGGACATTTCCCCGAATTCCGTACCCTTCCAGTTTGATTTTCAGCCTTTCGTGGGTACACTGTCGAAAGCCTTGGCAAAATCTAGGTAAATATTGTCGATATTACCACCCCGTTCCAGAATATGGGTCCAAATATCCAATACCTTGAGCAATTGCGTTAAGCAGGAGCGCCCCGGCATAAAACCGTGTTGGCAATCTTTTACAAGGTTGTTTCGTATTAGATGTTCCATTGCGGCATCTCTGATAATACTCTTAGGTACTTTACATATTATGCTGGTCAGGCTCACCGGTCTATAGTTGTTCGTGGAGTGACGATCACCCTTCTTGAAGATAAGACTCACATAAGCCACTTTCCATTCACTGGGGACCATTTGTTCATCCAGGCATTTACAAAACAGGATCTTCAGGGGCTCTGCAAGCTCGTTGCACAACTCTCTTAGCACTCTAGGATGCACCATGGCAGGTCCGGGACTCTTATGGACCTTTAGCCTGGACAGTTTATTTCTAATACCCTCTTCTGTGAACACAATGTGGGTCAGTGCTGTGTCGAGCCGTCTGTCCTCAAACGCAGGAAGGTTAGTTGCATCCTCTCTTGTGAACACCGAGGAAAAGATGCTGTTCAATGCCTCAGCTTTATCCTGGTCAGAATCTGCGTAACTACCATCCACCAGCCTCAGGTCTGATACTCCTACTCGCGTTTTCAATTTCGACTTTGCATAGCGGTAAAACACCTTTGGGTTTGACTTGACCTCGCTTGCAACCAGCCTCTGGAACCAGTTATATAATAAGAAACGCTCATATCTATGGACGCGTTGCTATGGCCATCACATTAACACACAACTGTGAGTGCGTCACGGTAAAGCAGTAAATATATTGAAACGGTCTAGACTCTACAGTAGAATAAGACAGGCTCTCTGATGACTGTAGTGTATATTTTTCGTGAGATGCCCGGTTAATTTTCCTCAGTTCTGCACGAGCCAATTTTTATAAAGAAAAACTCTAGTGTAATACATTACGTAACTTAAATAACTACTTATATATGCACACTCATACGTGGTCATACAGAGTTTAAATTCCGTATCACCAGTAGGGCAGGATAATGAAAAAAAAATAAAGCATATAACTGCACCAGCATCAAACTTTACAGAGTATCCCATCAAAAAGTTTTTTCATTTTT